CGGTGCGGCCCTCGCCGCCACTGACCTGTCGTTGTCTCTCCCCAGGACTGCGCCCGAGACTGACCATGGAGAAGCCCTGGGTGCTCTGGAGCGCGCTGGAGCGCTGGCTGCGGGCCGCGGCCTCCTGGGCGTGGGCCCTCTGCCGCATCTCCCTCCTGCCCCTGATCGTGACCTTCCACCTGCACGGGGGCGCGCTGGCGCTCCTGCTGGTGCTCCTGTCCATCGCGGGCACGCTGTACAAGTTCCAGGACGTGCTGCTCTACTTCCCGGAGCAGCCGCCGTCCTCGCGCCTCTACGTGCCCATGCCCACCGGCATCCCCCACGAGAACGTGTTCATCAGAACCAAGGACGGCGTGCGCCTCAACCTCGTGTTGCTGAGATACACGGGCGAAAGCTCGCCCTACTCCCCGACCGTCATTTACTTCCACGGGAACGCGGGCAACATCGGGCACCGGCTGCCCAACGCGCTGCTCATGCTGGTGAACCTCAAGGCCAACCTGCTGCTGGTGGACTACCGCGGCTACGGGAAGAGCGAGGGCGAGGCGAGCGAGGAGGGCCTCTACCGGGACTCGGAGGCCGTGCTGGACTACGTGATGGGCCGGCCGGACCTCGACAAGACCCAGATCTTCCTCTTCGGCCGCTCCCTGGGCGGCGCGGTGGCCATCCACCTGGCCTCGGGGAACGCGCACCGCGTCTCGGCCATCATGGTGGAGAACACGTTCCTGAGCATCCCGCACATGGCCGGCACGCTCTTCTCCTTCCTGCCGGTGCGCTACCTGCCCCTGTGGTGCTACAAGAACAAGTTCCTGTCCTACAGGAAGATCTCCCAGTGCAGGATGCCATCTCTGTTCGTGTCCGGCCTCTCCGACCAGCTCATCCCGCCGGTGATGATGAAGCAGCTGTACGAGCTCTCCCCGTCCCGGACTAAGAGGTTGGCCATCTTCCCCGACGGGACTCACAACGACACGTGGCAGTGCCAGGGCTACTTCGCCGCCCTGGAGCAGTTCATGAGAGAGGTCGTGAAGAGCCACTCTCCCGAGGAGATGGCCAAGGCCTCGTCCAACGTGACCATCATCTGACGCGGCCTGCGGGCGCTGTCCCCGCCCCCTCGGCCGCCGGCCCGCGCTCGCTGGGGACTGGCCCGCCGCTGGACAGCCCAGAGGGGCGGGCAGTAGCTGGCGAGCCCGAGCCCAGCGTCGCTGCAGGTGGTGCAGCCGGGCCTGGTGCCGCCCG